AGGCTGCCTGGATGCCCGGATAGTGCGGCTCCAACGGCCAGTTGGAGCCACAAAGGTTCCGGGTGTGGAATGCCCCCCTGGCTGAGGGAGATCTGCTCCTGAGGTATGCGCCAGTGCTTGGTCACCAAGAGACTGACAAGGTCGGCATACCTTCTGACCCAGTGAGGGGCAACAAGGAGAACTTCCGCTCCCTCTGTCAGGATCTTTCTGATGACATGAGGTATCAGAGGAAGTGGCGGAAAAGTGTAAAGGAGGCCAGGAGGCCAGCTGCAGTGGAGGGCATCCATTCCTTCTGCACTGGAGCACTGGAACCAGGAGAAGAACCGAGGGAGGACAACGTGATGGCAGATTGGTTGAGCAGGACCACCATCAGCAATTTGGAATGGCGCCTTCATCCATCTCTGTTTCATCCATCTATCCCAGAGATTCGACCCTCCGGTAATCAACTTCTTCACCAGTCCAAAACACACACCTCCCTCGGTTCTTCTCCTGGTTCCAGTGCTCCAGTGCAGAAGGAATGGATGCCCTCCATTGCAGCTGGCCTCCTGGCCTCCTTTACACTTTTCCGCCACTTCCTCTGATACCTCAGGTCATCAGAAAGATCCTGACAGAGGGAGCAGAAGTTCTCCTTGTTGCCCCTCACTGGGTCAGAAGGTCCTGGTATGCCGACCTTGTCAGTCTCTTGGTGACCAAGCACTGGCGCATACCTCAGGAGCAGATCTCCCTCAGCCAGGGGGGCATTCCACACCCGGAACCTTTGTGGCTCCAACTGGCCGTTGGAGCCGCACTATCCGGGCATCCAGGCAGCCTTCAACGGTGCGAATCTATGATGCAACATGGACTGTCTTTACATCTTGGTGTCATTCTCATCACATCGACGCTACCACAGCAACAATTCCACAAATCCTGGAATTTCTCCAGGAGGGGTTGGACAGTGCCTCGCCCCCCCCCCCAATACTTTGCGGTGATAGATGGCTGCTTTAGCCACCATCTTGTCTAGAGACGCTTCTCAATCTCTCAGCAGGCACCCTAGGGTACGCAGCTTCCTGAAGGGGGCTGCCAACCTCCAACCTCCACTAGTCCACGAATATCCAACCTGGGATCTATCTGTCATCCTCCAGGCCCTAACCTTGGTTCAATTCGAACCAATCCGTACCATCAGTCTTTGACATTTATCCTTTAAGGCAGCCTTCCTTATCACCATCATTTCGGCTCACAGAATTTCGGAGCTGGCAGCATTCTCAGTCAGGGAGGACCTCTGCATTGTATATCCTGACAGACTCATTAACACCTTATTTCATAGGAAGCAGGAAGTGATTCTTCCTAATTTCTGCTCGCATCCCAGACATCCCAGAGAGTGTGTTTGGCATACCCTGGATGTATGCCATGCAGTGCGTGTATATAGGAAAATGACGACTTCCTTCCGCAAATCGGACTCATTCTTCGTGTCCTTCCAACTTGGCTCAGAAAGGACAAAGGTATCATCTTTGACCCTAGGACGTTGGCTGCCCTTGCATTAAACTGGCTTACGAACATTAGGCTAGCCTGGTTCCATCTCAAATAACAGCTCATTCTACAAGGAGTGCCGCAACTACAGCCAATTGGGTCACGCAAGTGTCCATCGAGGAGATCTGTAGGGTGCTACCTGGTCCTCACTTTCTCCGTTCATCTGGAATTACAAACTGGATTCCTTTGCGGCTGCTGAAGCATTCTTTGGGAGGAGAGTCTTGCAACGGATCCTCGTGGATCCACCTAACCAGGACACTTCTTCTTCCCTCCCTGGGACTTCATAGCTTGGGTATGTCCCATGCTAGGACTCTCCAAGCAGTGCCTAGGAGAATGACTGTTGGCTTACCTGAATGGTCATTCTCTAGGTGTTGTGGGAGAGTACAACCCCACCCTGTTGTCCGTTGGTTCTGGAGTCACCACCACTAAGGAAATAACACTTCAAGTTACTGCATCCTTCTGGGTCTCATCCCTTTGTTTTTTAAACTGGCATCTATAAGGAGCAGAAGGCATGGCTACACAAACTTTGAACTCAGTCCTTGGGCAGCAAGCTGAAGTTAACCCATGCTTGGACTCTCACGCAGCGCCTAGAGAACGAACATTTAGGTAAGTCAACGGACATTATAATTACTTTCTAGTTGTATATTTTTTCTTCTTTTCTGACCCTTTTAAATTGTGTTTGCAAGATAATGTGTTAAGAAGTAACTTATGATTTGTTATGAGGGAGTTGAAAATATTAATAATATACACTACAGGAAGTCATCTTCCTTAAATCTTAGTTAAATCTCTTTTATTATAATTGAATCACTGTGACAGACATGCCAAGAGTCACTTTGGATTGCAGGAAGATGTAAATGGAATAAATGAATGTATTTATGAAGTAAAGTTGAATGTAATTAAAGAATTGATTAATTTTTGTGATGTTAAAAACATAGATCAATTAGTATTTTACATTTTTCTAGGTATCATTTAGAAATAAAAATAACATCTTTATTTATGTAGCTTTTATTATATACAGCTAGTCCTCAATTTACAACCATTTGTTTGGCAACTGTTCGAAGTTACAATGGCATTGAAAAATGGGACTTAATGAATGGTCCTCTCATTTACTACTATCAAAATCCAGGGATTTACAACAAGTGTAACAACTGCTTACAATGGTTGCAGTATCTTGGGATCATGTGATCACCATTTGTGTCCTTCCCAGCCAGCCTTTGACAAGGAAAGTCAATGGAAGAAGTCAGATTTTCTTAAAAACAAGTAATTTATTCGACAACCGCAGTGATTTGCTTAACAACTATGGCTAAAAAGTTCTAAAATTGAGTACAACTCACTAAACAACAATCTTGCTTAGTACTGAAAATTCTGGTTTCAATTGTGGTCATAAGTCAAGGACTACCTGTATAGCCTTTATTATATTATCTCTGTGTTAATTGAAATGGTATGCTAATGCAAGTGACAATAACACTTTATGTAAGTTGTTTTAATTTTACATATAGTATATGCATCCCCACCCCCCAAAAAAGACAGTACTATTTAAGATTGCAATTAGGTATTGAACTAGATCATTTAAGTCCCTAAAGCAGCATTAACAATATACTGAATTTTAATTAAATCTGTCTAAACTGAATCTCTCTGAATCTTCTATCGCTGCTTGTCCACTGGGATTCTGCCATATGTGTTTTTAAAATTCGACGGCTGGTTTTCATAGTTGTCTCTATTGATTTATCTGAATTCTATCTTACTACCACATTTTTATTTTAAAATTTAAGTGTGGAACCAGCAATAAGCTTCATAATGATATCTTATGAGAATTTATTGGTATCATGCTACCTTGTAGCCATTGGCCTATTAATATTGATACTTCTACCCTAGGAAATAAATCAATGAATACTAGTGTATGATCTTTCAAAAAATTTGATGTGTCAGTATTGTCAAACTGAGGGAGAATCTTGTTTTGCACTTTGTCTGTTCCCATCACTAACCTGAGCTTCATTTAGAGCCTTAGCAAGTCCAGACTCTTCGACTTAGCACTTAGGAAAATAATGAGTATTTCAAGCTTAGGTTTAAGAAGGAACAAGGCAGAGACCTTTTGCTTGTGTTGCTTCAGCTGCATTCAAGAGGACTTAGCACAGATGGATTGTGCATTACAAAATGTAACACATAATTCAAGCTGTCAGCTTAATCAGACTGTTTCCAGGAAGCAACCTGTAAAGAGAAAGACCCCTTGTTTGCTGACCCCTGATCCATAGCCTGCTGCATCATGTCATCCATTTTGCTTTTCTTTATTTATGTGTCCTTTCCTTTCCCTTCTTTTTATTAATGTATTCCCTTCAAGTGGCACCCTGGAAAGACCACCCAGAGGGAGGAGCACAATAGGGAATGACCTAGCTGAAATAGAGATTTTGTAAGACTTCAGTGCAATGAAAAGCCCTGTTGAACTGCCTGTGTGTTCTTACTGGTTCAGTGTGTATTAGTTTAAAACTCAAAACTTCACTCCCACACCACCTTCATTTTTCAGCATTCACCATTATTATTATGGGAATGCACTGCAATCATTTTCAGTAACTTAAATATTTTACAGTGCTGTGCGAATCGTGCACACTATGCCTTAGGTTGCAACTATTTTAGAAGCTTGGCAGAATCTCTGAATATTGTTTTTGTACTATATTTATAGGCCAGCTATGTGTTTGCTTTATAGAGTTTTGCTGGAACAAAGCTGGCAGACTGAAGTAAAAATCTGAATAGCTATTTACACGTCTATAAAAGGATTAGCAGTACTCCATTGTTAAAATGCTTAAATCTTAATTTGCATCATTATAGAGGTATCCCATTATTATAATTCCCCATAAATTGCAGTTATGTTTTCCACCTGTAAAATTTGGCCCTAAAATGTATTAAGTTTCTTTGCTAATCATGTTACACATAGAAATAAACATATGATAAATCACTTGCACTACAATAGTCTAGCAGAACAGACTCATTTTTTATACATTAAACCAGGACAGTGTTTTACTAGTTGCATGAATTCTGCAAAATTATAATATACAATGCTGATGTGAAAACTTGAGCTATGGTTTATACAGGTTTGTATGTCTCATTCCTTTTTTTTTTCCTTTGACATTTAGGAATTCCCAATATATATGATGCCAGCTTCACATTGCAAATTTCTTATCTCTGCTTTGTTGATTTCTGCTTGTAAAGATAAACCCTACATAATATGATAATGCTGCCTCATACAACATTTATCACACTGTTGTATCCCTATCTAAATGTCACCAAAAAAGGAAGAAGAAAAAGTATTTTCAGGTGATATAGTTTAGCGCTTCTTGGTATAATCCAGAGAAGGCATATATATATACAATGAAACAGCAAAGTGCTTTTACTTCCCCATTTATATTAATATGCCTTATTTTAATATCAATATTTTAGTAGATTGTTAAATAATGTGTTCTTGCTACTGCATAAAATGTATTTTTTTCTTATTTCTGCAGGGAATGTCTGTCATTTGAAGGATTTTGTCATGTCTTAACTTTCATAGAAGAACTGGTAGCCAAAGTACCTTCTGTAGGCTCGGCATTATATGAGAGAGGAACTGCTAATACAGCAGAACGAGAGAAGCTTATAAGGTCAATGGCTAGTTTCATTTAATGTGAAATGTGACAAAGCTATCTATATAACTACTCAGATTTTGGCTTTAATAATTTCATTGGAATTTATTTCAGATTAATGCTCCACCACAAAAATCCTGGATTGTTCTCATTTTCAATTTGTTCGGAAGAATAATATAAAGGAGATGTTTTAACAATGAGGGATGCATAACATCAGGGCTCATATTTAGTGGAGTTCAAGTGATCAGAACTCTCAAAAGAGACTTTTCAGCACATATAATATTGATTTTGAAGAAAGAGCAATATTATTTTGTTTTGTTAAACTGGAGGAAGATAGGAAACCACAGACTTAGTGTGGCACCTTTTACTTCCCTCCCAAATTTGGGAGCTCGCTATAACACTTAGCAACTTTGCCTTCTATTTAAGATAAATCTTCTTCTTTTTGACATGACCACAGATTATTTTAGTATTACTTTAGTATTGCAGATTACTTTAATAATCTGTAATTAAGATATCTTTATAACAGCATTGTAGAAAAAATTTGTTTTAAAGAAATTGATTTCTCATTAATATATTTTTTTTAAAAATTATAGAATGGAAGGGACTTGGCAATGCAATTATGTTTTCATTATTTTGATTTATTTTGGTAGATTGCAAGTCAGACCCAGAGTGTTCTTATTGGCCACACCCTACTCCAGGACTCTTTTTTTTCTCGTTCCCCCTAGGAATTGTTGAAAGAATTATGTATATATTCTAAACACTTGACAATGTTGGCATTACAGGCTCATACTCTAGCTTTGCATGTTTTACCTTGAGGTAGTGAGTTCAAATCTTGAAGCAGAAATTCTCATTATGGAAACAGACTTCCTAAATGGCCTATCACATTCTTCCCCAAAGACTTTCATTTTAGCCAACTGGGTGTCACAGTTATTTCTGTGATTTCAGCTGGGTAAAATATCAATTATCAGATGTGGAATCAAAGAAGGTTTTTTTTTTTGGTTCTCAGGATGCTACAGGTGAAGAGATTGGTGTATGCCTACACTTTGACCAATTCATATTTGATCAATATATTAATAGTGTTTTAAATGTCATTGATAAAAATAAATTATGATTATCCGTTTTTAAGTACCTGTTTTCATTTATAGCCTCTGTAATAAAGGTGGCAACTTGGCACAAGAAAACGCTGAGGCGTGTGAAGCGCTTGTCCTTTATCAACTTCAGACATTATTACAAAATACAATGAATGGACACCTTTTACGAAATGAAATGCTTAATTACCAAAGGGAAAGACTGAATGAAGAACAAAGCAGGTATGATCACTTAATGTCCATCATTCTTATGTCACATGTTGTATATGATATGAAATCAAAGCACTTTAAGAGAGTTGCATGCGTCGGGTTATAGTTTAACTGTTCAAAATATAGAAATTAAAGATGTTAAAACATGCACATATTTATTTTGGTTTAAGTCAATTAATTCAGTGGGACTTATAGCCAGGAAAGAATATATAGAATAGGAGCTTTAAAAGGAAAGAGATGAATAGGAAAAAGAAAACTCTAGATAATAAGCAGAGCAATAGCTAACATCAGGCTACACAGCTTTTGGGTGTCTGAAAATATATATAGTGTTAACTTAGGCAGTGCCTCTGCCAGCATGTACATAGGTAAACACATATACATTTATTTATTTATTTATTTATTTATTTATTTATTTATTTATTAGATTTATATACCGCTTCATAGGGCTTTCAGCCCTCTCTAAGCGGTTTACAGATTATTTTAGCAAATTGAGTCAGCAACTTGNAACTTGAAGATGTCCGGACTTCAACTCCCAGAATTCCCCAGCCAGCAAATGCTGGCTGGGGAATTCTGGGAGTTGAAGTCCGGGCATCTTCAAGTTGCCAAGGTTGAGAAACACTGGTCTAGACAAGTTGTTAATAGCAATAGTAACAACAGACTTATATACTGCTTTACAGTGCTCTACAGCACTCTCTAAGCAGTTTGCAGAGTCAGCATATTGCCCCCAAAATCTGGGTCCTTATTTTATCGACCTTGGAAGGATGAAAGGCTGAGTCAACCTTGAGCTGATGAGAATTGAATTGCCGAGCTGCTGGCAGCCGGCAATCAGCAGAAGTAGCCTGCAGTACTGCACTCTGACCACTGCGCCACCAGGGCTCTTAAAAATGAAATATGGAACAATCAAGTATCCGACATAGCGTGAACTTAGCTTTCTAATTCTGTCAAGATGCAATTAAAAACATGTCTATAAAATGTCATGAAAGTTCTAGTTTTTCCTCTGATTATGGAAGATATTGTCAAGAAAGAGCAGAACAGTCAGATGGTTCTACTGACTGGGTGTGGGTAATGCATGAACAAAATAGAATAGAAAAACATGCTATTTCTTCAAATTTCATTGAAGTTTGTGCTGCCTGCCTACTTTTTCTAACCATACCTGTAACAGTGGCAACTACAGAGAGATCACTCTCTACATTTAAATTTATGCAAAAACATGATTGAAAACAACTTTCTCAGGCATGACAAATCAGTTGGTCATTCTCAACTGAGAATGAATGTATCATATTCCAAAGGTAGTAAGTGTAGCTGCTAAGGAAAGAAAAGCAGTTGAGTGAACCTTTACAACTCTGCACCGTGGTCCCCACTTGCACAATGCCAAGGATGATGATGTCAGGGCCCAATCACTGACCCACCTAGGTTGTACAAGATGTGCTGGCTCTGAGGTCATAATAACAAACATGGGACATGGTTGCTTTGGTTAGCAAATGACACAACTCAGAGAGGATTGAGAGAAAAGTGACAACCAACAGCTTTATGCCATTGCCTGGAAGGTACATCACTGTGCTGCGGTTTGATTTTTAAAGATTTTGCTTGGCTTGTTGACTTGATATGCTACTTATTATTACTTGGTGAATGTTCTTGGTCTCAGTCTGCATTTAAAAATGTAAAACCAATTGCTTTGATTTGGTTTGTGGCTGATGTATCTTTATCCTCTGTATACATGCTCTGAGTCCCAGTTTGTATCATTTTGGGTCCCATTCCATTCTAGCTACAGTGTCTCCCAATGTGCAGATAATTCAGTTGTGCGTTATGGAAAACTAGCAACTCAGGTCAGTTGTGTTTGTGTAGATTGCTACAAAAATTGGAAAAAGTACTATACTGTAATGTAGTTTAGCAGTGATATTACTTAAAATAACTCTTGAGGACAGTATTTTTGTGTTCAGAGCTGAATATTAATGATTTGAAAGGCATTTTAAAATATAGGTTAGAATTTTTGAAATACACTTGCTAAACGTGAAAAACTAATTTAAGTTTCAAGTGAAAATGGCCTTTTGAAGGGATTTAAGAGAGAAAATTGAGAACAGAATTATGTACTCAAATTGAATATGTTGTTATTCTTTTGGCTATTGATATTTTGATTTTTACTGTAGTTTTTAAAAAGACTGAATATGCTAACATTAACATGTAAGTGTAGTCATTTTTAATAATTTTATTTCACAGCTTGAAGTTAATTTTTATAAACTGGAGTATCTATATTTTTTGATAAACATAAAGAAACTTGCACGTTCAAAAAGAACTTGGAGCAGTGATAATGTTTCCTACACATGATGTGTGGAAGAAATGTGTATAAAACCTTTGTGTGTATGCTATGTGTTTAAGAGAAAGCAAGCATACTTATATCTTTTTATAGATCTGACATAGCAATCTCATAAATTTTAATCAGGCTTTTCAATCAGGAATAATCAAAGAAGTTGGATGATGAAACTTCTCATGCCTATAGTATATAACAATAGTAACAATAGTTTTAAAAATTATTTTCATGTAAGAAATAAACAGAATGTGCACCTCTTTGATTTGATTATTTCTACACAAAAGGACATATGTTGTCTCTTAAATGTCAATTACTGCCGTATAAATTATTTGGAAGAACTGATAGCTAAGTACTTGTACTGCTCTATCAATTAATATGTTTGGTCACTTAATCACTTAATTGAATTTCCCCTTCCTACAATGTTTGCAATTATTATGGTTAAGAAGTGTCAGTACTAGAACTGGTTTTTTTCATTGTTTTCAGTGCATGATAATTATAAGCAAAGTTCTTACTCTAACATGCATTCATAATTAAAAGTAAGAATGTTAAATTATTGTTAGCAGAAGAATTTCTGCTGCTTGTTCACTCTTTGGAAAAGGTAATACTATACTGTAAAAGAAGCCTTCAGGATTTCAAGAAATATTGGATGCTCAAAGGAAACAATTACTGTGTTTGTGGTAGCCATGTCTAAATTTTGAGCGAGTAATGCAGACAATTTCTTTATATCATTGTGAAGGTAAAATTCCTTGCATCTACTTCAACTGTAGCACCACCTAGCGTCTGACAATCATATCTTATCATTTTGGAAAAAAAGTTTACATTTAGATAAGGTAGATCAGATCAGAAAACAAATTCCACAGAAAGACTAGAACTATACTTTATTGAAATAGCAATATGTAGCCCCTCTCAGTAAAATGTACAGGTAGTCCTTGACTTACAACAGTTCACTTAGTGACCATTAGAAGTTACAATGGCAGTGAAAAAAGTGACTGATGACTATTTTTCACACTTATGACCATTGCAGCATCCCCATTGTCACATAATTTACATTCTGATGCTTGACAATTGACTCACATTTATGATGGTTGTAGTGTTCCATGGCCATGTGATTGATCCCTTTTTGCAACCTTCTGACAAGCAAAGTTAATGTGGAAACCAGATTCATTTAACAGCCTTGATATACTGCATTTATTCACTTAACAAATGTGGCAAGAAAAGTTGTAAAATGGGACAAAGCTCACTTAACAAATTTCTCACTTAGCAACAGAAATTTTGGGCTCTATTGTGGTTGCAAGTTGAGGACTACTGTAGTAGTCTTCCTGTAGAAATCTGTTTTCTAATCTAGTCTATCTTGAAGTGCTGACATCACTTTGGATGAATTGGCAGATTCAAGAGTATTAGAAAGACCATACTTTTGTATGCTACTAATGAGTGGTTGGGATGCATTAGCAGAGCAGACTCTGGAATCCTGCGAAAACATGGATTGAATAGTTTTGCAAAAATATTTTTTTTATTGCCAGTGCCTTTGGCTTCAAGCAGAATGAATGCAGCTTGAAGGATCTTCCTTGATAACAATCATGAATGTAATAGGAAACAAAAGATGGAGAAGTGAAATTTAGTCAGCCAGGGCATTACAGATTGTGAAATAGTTATGTGCTGGCTAAAGCAAAAAAATTAAATAGAATAAGTGCAAAGGTTTGTTATAGAGAATATGCAGTTAAAAATCTAAGATCAGTATAATGATAAAATGAATATTTTTGAATAATGAAATATAAAAAGCTGTAAACCAACTGTCAAAGAGGAAAAACATATAAAATAGCAACAACTTTAATGGTGAAAGGGAGAGATAATGCAATTTGATTTGTGCTAGTGCTAATTAGACAACGAATAAAATAAGACAATATTTAAACAAAAATGTAAGATTCCTATCACTGATCAGTGTATTATAAGCATTTCCATTAGAATGATAAAGGGAAAAACACAGCCTTAGAAGTACCTGCTAAAGAATATGAAGAAATTTGTGGAATTGACTTATTTGCTCATTGATTGGATGTCAAAATTAAATTTAAAACAAAAACATTGATTAAAATGAAATTAATAGTATTTACTATTTTCTTTCTTCATAATCCAGTCCCATCTTTATAATTTCTTTGTTCTACTTTTTTCTGTTCTTTCCCTCTAAGAACTCTTGAGAAAACGCAAAATACCATGTTCTAGCAGACAACTGTATTTTTGTAACATAGAAAATAGCCCCACAATGATTTATCTTTCATTTTCTCAGTCTCCTTTCCACATGTCAGTTCCCAGAATTCTTAGGCAGTACAACTAAACTTTAATTTATGCTGGAGTTGAACTCCAAATATACCCTCAGATATGAAGCTGGAAAAAGAAGGTAAGAATGAAGCAGTTCACACCATGATAACCCCAAGCTTTGCCTATCTTGCACAAGTTTTGTGATCTTATGGGTAGATGTTGCATCACAATGGCACAATGCTGTTTTCATAATTTTGACAAATGCCTCTGTACTGTAGTGAAGTTTTTGTTGTGCAAAATCATATCTATGTCCCTGTCTTTTTAAAAAATTTTAGTTATCCATATGGGTAGTTATCAGTAAAACAACCCACTGAAACAGTTACCATGGACATTTCAATAATATACAATTACTGATTTCTATCTTATAAAAGATGCAATGGAGCAAAATATT